GTTTCAAAAAAGAAAGAAAATAATTTAGAAAGCAATTCAGTGTCATTTTTCACTATTCTAAAATCGTTCACTAATAGAATTACTATTTTTAGGCCCCCGTCACTTGTTGTCTCATTAAAATAAAGTAATGATTAAATACGTCCTCATAAAAAAGTCAAGAGGCGTCAAATTAGCTGATCTAGGAGGTCAATGGCCTGTCTGCCGTGACCTTAAGGCCGGCCACATACATACGGAATTCCGTTTCGGGATTTCGTTTCGATATTCCGATTCGGGATCCCGAACGCAGCAAGTCCATATAAAATCTATGACCCACCACACACGTATGGTATTTTTCCGTTCGGAATTTTCTCCGATTCGAGATTCCGTATGACCGCTTGTGCGTTTGGTATCCCGAACGGAAAAAAGCCGCTCCGAACGCAAGTCTTCCATAGATTTTGTACGAGTCGCAACACACGTACGTAAATTCCGTACGGAACGCGGTCAGTGTTTCTTTATTTGTTTTTATATTTAATCTTGTAGGTATAGCTTTTCGTAACCTTTCACCTTATTTTATTTAATCATTCGTAGAAAGAATTTACAGCCATAAATATTTAAAAAATATCTCTGGATAGATAGATCTTTTTACATAATATTGACTATATTGCAAGCTTAGGGTGATAAGGGGATGTACCTAGTAAGAATGTACAGAAAAAATGGAATCGCAATTAGAAAATCGTTGTTATTATTCGCTGGCAGAATGTCTAGACTCAATGGCTAACGTCTCTCAATTGATCCTTGTTATTCCGAACGGAAAAAAAAACGTAAAAAAACGTAACGTAACGTAGACGATCCCGATTCGGGATTCCGAAACGGAATCACGAAATTGGATTCCGTATGTATGTGGCCGACCTTATAAAACACTCCAAACTCTGTATTTGTAAAGACTTTAATTAACTTGAAATAAGGTTCAATTTTCTTTATTTTGTATTGAATGACGGAATTTGTATTAATACAAATAAAACCGCACTTTTAAAAGTCTTATTGCCTTGAGTTACGGTCCATTTCAGTTTGTTTTGACAGTACAGGTTTGGTGTGACTGTAAATTACGTAGTTTCAATTATTTTTGTTATAAAAAACTAGCTGTTCCCCGCGACTTCGCCCGCGTGGAGTTATTTTTCGTGGAGCCCTAAAATAAAAGCAGTCCAAGTTACTCCTTATAACATCAGCTATCTGCCAGTGTGTATAAATATAGACAAATATTGACATTAATATTTATACGATACTAACGTCACTCAATTATTTTGCCTTCCCGGAATCCCTCCACTAACACTTAAACTTTATGGTGTGGTATTAAAGTTCAAATTGACTTTTAAGTGTTATCACGAATATTTTGTATGGGAATATAGAAAAGTGTTGTTTTTAGACCCTTTCAGGCAATTTTTTAAAAATTTTCTCTCCGCAAGAACCATCTTCGTACTTCAAGGAATATTATAAAAAAAGAATTAGCGAAATCGGTTCAGCTGCTCTCGAGATTTGCGCTTAGCAACACATTCAGCGATTCATTTTTATATTATAGATTACCTATATTAAAAATAGAAATCAATTCAGTAAACGATTTCAAACAAACTACTTTCACAAAGTGCGTTAATTATATTACGTGTTGTATATGTGTGTAATTGTTTTTCAAGAATATGTAGAATTTTTAGTCATTGTTTTTTGTCGTAGATCGGAGCACCAAGGTCGTTGTCTTTTGTGCATGCTCCGACTCCAAGTCTGTGAATGCTGGTGTTCCACAAAGATGCATGCTATCGCCTACCCTGTTTACACTTATTGTACCTTGTTACATTTATTGTAATGCTGACGACAGTACCAGCGATGCTATATACACCGATCGTGCTGATATTTCTCGGGAACATGTCTAAATTTTATCTGATCTGCTGAATCCACTGGTTCTCGCGAAAATATGTTGCATTATTTTGATTATACTGCGGGAAGTGCTCTGGAATATCTGTTGTCATTTCATTCATTGTCTTTAGGTGGTAGAACTTTTTTCTGCTTAGAAGTCCGTCTAGATAGGTTTTACATTGTTATGTTCCAGTCTGAAGTTTATAGAAAGTCAGTATAATAGCAAGATAGGCTATTGAATCAATCATCGGACACTGCGACAGAGCTCTTAATTCCAAGCCTTTTACAAGGAATTTTCTGTCACGCACAATCAAATTGTAGAATCAAACTCAATCAATAATAAAAAGAATCATAAAATTATCTAATCTTTTCTTTAAGGCGGACAACTTACGTATTCTTCTGATGTTGCAGATGTTTAGGGGCGACGATAATCACTTACCATCAGATTAGTCGTATGCTCGTTTGCTTGCTGTTTTATATAAACAAAATTTATTTTCTATTTGCGGTTGCTGCACGAATGAGTCGCTTCGATTGGAGAAGGACCACGCTGTCACAGAACACCAGCTTAAGCTACTTAATCAAGCTGTGTTATGTATGGTGAGTGTAGAGAATCGAAGTTCTTTTTTCACTGGAAACGAGGCATTCCGTCTTAGTCCTCAGGGGGTGACAATGCATCTACATTCTAAATCTTACTATCAGGTGGACTTTGTGGTACATGGTTATTTTTCAAAGACTAGCTAAATTTAATAATTAAGTTCAAAATATTAATACTGATATAGTGATATACACTTTTTGCAGTTTATAAAAATACGCGTAAATAAAGTTTTTACATTTATATGAAAATATTTGAAATTGAATGTGACTTATGGCAAAGAAAATATACACTACGCGAACTTATGGGCAACAACTAGTGTTGTACGCGCGCTTGTGTGTACGATATAACATATTTATATTATAATTATAATGCGTTTTAAATAATATCTATGTGTAAATAAGTTAATTTTTTCTGTTGTGGCTCTACCGATAGCTCTCACCACATTACCAAAGGTTAGCTGGCAGATAATGCCTCTTCGGCATTAAATTCGGCTTTGTACCAAATTGTTTTGATTGCAATAAAGCCTTTTCTATCCATCTACCTACGTCAATGAACGGAGCTTTTGCCCTCCATTTCCTTCCTTAATGACACGCTCGCTATTAAGTTGATAACTACGCGACGCGAATTATGATTTCAATTTTCTCTTCATACTTTCAACGGGCGAACCGTCATAATACATAAAATTAAAAAACATTTTTTACAATTCATTGACGTAACCGATAACTGTCTTTATTATGTAATTTAAAACGATTAACTATTTATAATAACGAACTATTATTTACAAGTTCAATATGCAATCACTAAAAATATCACAAACTATTTACAAAGATATTTTTGAGGTGGACCATCGTAATTATTCAGTGCTTGCACAGATTAATTCAGTAGTTTCCAGACATAGTACTAACTGTGACTTCTCGAACTGCATCATGGGTGCTAGCACGAGGGTTTCTTGGCTCGAAAACCCTTGAATGAACACATCGAGCGAATGAACACAGCGAGAACTTCCATGTGACGAAGTAGGGAACTGACCAAAGTCTAATAAACTTCGTTTTGCTGCCAACATTGTACTCCGATTGGGTGGTACATGAGCGTTATTTCCTTGTCTTCGCAAATGCAGTAAAGACTTACTTTCGTATAATCTTTGCGCACCACATAAACTATCATTGCTAAAAATGTAAAACCATAATATTTCATAGTATATACGGTTTGAATATTTTCGTGGCGTCATTTATAACGAAGTGACAAGTAGCACTTCGTAAGAAAATTTAAAAATAGCATACTATTATACGTAATGAGGTCACGGTTAAGGCATCATTGTCGGCAATCAGCCTAGTGGTGTAACGGCTTACGGAAGGGTATGGTCGGGGAGACGCGCTTGCCTTTACCAAAGATATATGATGAGATAAATCTACCCTCCTAAAGTTGTAACCGAGAGCGAGTACCATACGCCACGGACTTCTTCCGAATTCAATACTCCCTTACAAATGTGTGCGTGTGTAATAAAATAGCAGGCACTACATATTTATGAATGACAATCAGTTAAAATAATGCATTTCCATTCCAGAAAATAAAAGATAAAAAGGACAAAATGTTTAAGTTGTATTTCTTTTTTTTTCAATATACGCTTATAAAAGGCCGGCAACGCACCTGCAATTCCCTTAGTGTTGCAGTTGTTCATGGGCGGCGGTAGTCACTTACCATCAGGTGAAAAAAAAAATTACCTACTCGGAACCTTCTCTGCAAATTTGGCCATATATTGCAAAATAACGCTGTATATAAAAATCAATTTTCGATTAGTCTCGCTAAAACTTTAAAATGGCTAGGCCGATTGTGATGCATTTTTTTTTGTGTTTGAGTGGGTCCCTGGATGGTTTAGATTCAGAATTAGACCCGGTAGGTGGCGCTATTATCAAGATCTAGAAATCATGCGAAGCCGGGGCGGATCGCTAGTTCTATATAAAATACGTTCCGTAATACGTAAATATTATTCGTTTAAAAAATTTGAAATACACGTGATGATCCTAGTAAAAATACTATGTCAGAAAATTATTTTATAATCATCGGTTATTAATACGTCAGCAAAATTTCAGTTTATTAAGGCGTCCGAAAGTTGGTGAAACTAAATGATATGATATCATTACATTAATACATACATATTCACACGTACAGGTCTATCTAATAAAGAAAACTACATTTTGTATGGATCAATGCTTAAGTAAAGATATTTTAATTTATATAATTTAACCAGCACACACAGTACGTAACAGTGGTAACACCAGGAGTTAATTAGCGATAAAGTTGGAATGTATGCAAGAAAATACAATTATGTTACAAAATTGCCTTATACTTACGTAAACATATTTTTTTGATGTTTTATAAATATATTTTTTTGAATATTTAAGTTAGATAAATATTTAGGCATTGTTTATACAACAAAAATATTTCTTTTCTTTTATTTTTACTTTTTCTACAACAAACTTTTCAAAAGAATTTTACTAAAAATACTAAATTGTGCCAATATTTACTGTAGGTCATTTCGATGAAACGACCACAGCAAAGCGAAGTAGGACCAAGACCTGCTCATTATCTGTAAATAAAGGAAATATAGCGTTATATATACGTACCTTTTATAATTAAAATATAAAAATATGAATTAAAGCACCCTGATATAGTTACCTTTGTGAATACTACAATGTTGATATCGGCAAAACCGAATGAGGTCAATTTGCATGGCTTCTGAGCTCTGAAAATATACTTTGTAGGAATATAGGAATGTTGTCTTAGTATTAGATATATTATTATATATTAAAACATCAAATTTTCTTCATGCTACATACCTATAAGATATAATCATTAGATTTTTTACAACGGTTGATTTTACTTTATACCATCCACAATTGTACACTGCGTTGCTTATTTCTGCGCTCTAAAAATATCTATACTTTTAATTTATTCCGGTACTAATTATTAAGTAGCACGAATGGGTCGGCTCGACCGGGGAAGGACCACGCTCTCACAGGATACCAGCGTAAAATAGCAGCTTAATGGTGCTGTTTTTCGTATGGTGAGTGTAGAGAACCGGAGACCCATTTTACTGGAAAAGAGGCATTCCATCTTAGTCCTCACGGGTGACAACGCATCTGCATTTTGATTCGGAAACGAAGATAGATGTAGATGTCTATGGGCCGCAGCAACCACTTACCATTTGGTAGACTGTGTGCTCGTTTGTCACCCTTATTCTATAAAAAAAAAAGTTTTTTCCCACTCAGATGAGTTTATCTTGTAAACGTGCTGTTTGAGTAAAATTCAAAACGAGTTACGGGAGAAATTCGTGAATATTGCCTTAGAAGGTTGGTGACGTGGTGAAACGAACGAACCTTTTATTGTTACTTTAAATAAAACTACATGTTATATAGCTTCCTAACCTTGAAGAGCTCTATGCACCGAAGTGAATTTCTAGTAGGAAGATAATTCATAATTTATAATTCATTTATTGCATGTCACAATGTATAAAGGTGTTACAATATATCTACAGAGCATGTGACAACTCTGTACGGGCGTAGCATATTAAGACGGATTCTAATTGTTAATTAATATAAAATCAAATTACATTACAATTTTAAGGTACATAATCTATACATTATTATTAATTAATTTATTAAATATCAAACAAAATTATACACACATTTAATTAAATTTGTAATGTCAATAATTATTTCATTTCAAATATTGGTCATTTTTAATTCATGTAAATAAGATTTAAAATTTTGATGAAAATATTAATAATGTCATTTAAGTAAATAGAAATAATAAATTTAGTCAAAATAATTTAAATTTATAATTTATCATTAAAATATTCATTCAAATTATAATACGAGTAGCTTTTTACAATAAGCATTTTCTTAAGTACCTACTATTTCAAATTCACGACACTGGAGGGCTCTTATATTATTAGGATGTAGAAGGATATACGTAGTTTCTATCAACAAAAACTATTAAATCCATCCGACATTCATACACTATTTTTCCATTTTTAATTTAAACGTAAAAGTCCATTGCTGGGCTATGACATCTCTGTGTGTAGGGAAGATTTACCTTAATCACCACACACGCTTGGTAGGCGTATTGGCGAAGTAATCTCGTAATTTTACGCCTCATCCACGGCGCGTTTTTGTATTTCGTATTTTAAGTCTGGCGTTAATGAAGTGGTACGGCGCCATTTATCAAAGCCTTGAGATCTTTTGTTATTTCCCATAGTCACTTTTAGCGACACAATATCAAAAAAATACTTCCATAAAGTATCAAGTGTTGTACTAAGTTGAAACACCGTGTCGAAACCTGTATTTGAAATATATCGTCCATATGTCTATCAATAAAGGTGGCGCGCAAAAGCGAAAAAAAATCGTAATAATTTTTTAAAGAATTAAATATAATTATTGACATAAAGTAATAAATAAAAAACTACATTAATAAAGATAAATAATAACTACATAAATTTTAAAGGTAACCTTGATGAATCTGAAAGATAAATAATTATTTCTAACATAATTTATTTATATTTGAAATACTTACTGATTTCAGAATAAGGTCACCGTAATAACATAGTAAATATATTTGTCCAATCACCATAAATAAAAATGAAATAAAGGGTATCACGACGAGCAGATTGTCGTATGCCTAAAACATATATAATGATAATAACACTTATAATATAAGGAAAAATTAAGAGCAAAACTGAAAAAGAAAAATTCACGCATACTAGCTTCTGAAGTCGGTGATAATACATAATTGACACAATAGTTTAGGGAGAGGGCAAATATTTTCTTTACTTTTTAAAGTCTGATTTTACTTTCTTTTTAATACTAGTAACATTACTTATATTCACTTTAACTTCTTTTTACTTTTTAATAAAAGTAAAATATGTAATTATTTTATCCTTTTGAGTTTTCTAAAGAATATCACGAGTTCAAGGTAACAACTAAAATGTCTTTTAAATAGATAAATCAAAACCTTCGTTCCCTATTATTCCACCCTTAGGGATGGAATGAGTTTCTTCTTTAGCAAAATATGGGATCAGCCCTGAAGAACCTAGCTTAAACCTCCGTTCTGCCGTTTCCGACCGGCGATTTCCCATAAAAGTACAATTTTAAAATTTTATATGCACTATATCATGGTACTATAAAATAAATTAGTTAAGCGCCCAATTTAATCCTTCATATGTGAAATAGAGTACATTTTAGATCCATACTGCGCAGGAGGCTTGTACTTTTCATTTTTATAGTGATGTGATTTAAAATACTAGGCAATTGAAACATAATCTTTTTTTGTTATATTATAGAAAAACTATCTAATGCGAAAAGAGACTGTGAAATTACATAATACAAATAATTATTATACCACCAAAACAATAATCTGTCAAGCAATCTTTTTTGCAACACAGAAAAGATTATTTTGCAATTGTCGTGTAATTAACGGTAAATTTTTATTTAACGTAAATACTTCATGATATAATTTTTAGTGAATTTGTATATTATTATTATTTTATAGGAGAGGGGGCAAACGAGCATGCGGCTCACCTGATGGTAAGTGACTACTGCCGCCCATGAACAACTGCAACACCAGGGGAATTGCAGATGCGTTACCGGCCTTTTAAAAAGGAGTAGTCTCTTTTCTTGATGGTAAACTATTCCACAGGGAAGTTATGTGAGGAAGAAAACATCTTCTAAATCGCACAGTGGTGGACCGCCAATCATCCAAATGGTGTGGATGGTATCGGGAGTTCTGCCGCGATGTGCGTTCGTGAAATTTGGCGGCTGGGATTAATCCGAACAATTGCTTAGAGCACTCCCCGTGGTAAATGCGAAAGAAAATGCTAAGGGAAGCAACATATCTTCGCAGTGCCAATGAATCGAGCCGATCGGAAAGGACTCGGTCGTTGACGATTCGAGCCGCTCTGCGCTGGATGCGGTCAAGTGGAAGGAGCTGGCACTGGGGAGCCCCTGCCCAGAGATGGGAACAGTATTCCTTGTGAGGCCGAACCTGCGCCTTGTAAAGTTACAGGCGGTGTGCTGGCATGAAATACTGTTCCGCTCTGCTGAGCACGCCAAGTTAATAGGTTTGTAGTCGGAGCATGCACCGTCTACAACGACCTTGATGCTCCGATCTGCAAGAAAACTGGTGATCCGATTGCACAATATCTCGGGAAGCCCATAGGAAGAAAGCTTCGAAAGAAGCGCTTTGTGCCGAACCCGATCGAAGGCCTTTGCAATGTCCAAACTAACGGCCAATGCCTCCCCCTTGGACTTTTATTATGGCAATTTTATTTTAATTATATTTACGCTATTTATCCTTAAAATTGCCTTACTAGAAAATTTTAGTAACAACACGCCAGCGAAACAAGCAGTGAAACTAAAAAAAAAATACTTTTTTTTGGATCAGTTCTAAAAATAAGTAATAGTGTTACTTATTGCCATACTTATACTTTTAATGATTATACACTCCTTCCAATCAGTGGCCATACCTACACAACACATTTTTTTATTCACAATTGAAAATAAATTTGAATGCAAATATAATAAAATAAAGCGTCGTACCATGACATTAAATCCAGTGAAGCAAATGAGCAGAGAACTTGTTAGAATGTTGCAGAGTGAAGACTTCGAAAATGCTGAATCCAATAAGTTCACACAACTGTAAAGGAATTATAAAAAAGTTTGATAAAAATTTTTGCAGCAAAGTTTTTTTTTTTTTGGCAAATAAATAATGAGTAATTTTGAATATATTTCTGATTATAAAGATACATTTTTGACGTGCGGTCTGGGTGAATCCATCATTCCAATTTTCCCTGTTTATGTCGACTTCGTCATTAGAAAATGCCGAATGCTGCCAAACTGCCATTTTGTTAATACCAGATGTAAGATACTCTGACCAATGACAGGGTGCATTGTCAAAAGTACGTTATATCGGGAAGTGCTTTTATGTTTACCACGAGTTCAGCGGTGAAGGAAATCATCGTAACAGGAATAAATTATTTCAGATACATGTCCCCCGGCACGTACTGGTGCAACGAGGCACACTTATTGCTCCACAACTCTCTCAAAAATGTGAGAGGAGGTCTGTGCCCAGCAATACAAAGTAAATAGTAAAACTTTTATACAAATATTATTATGGAATATAATATAAAATGATTACAAAGAAAAGTTCTCACCGTAAAAGCTCTCGATGGCGATCAACTATATCTTTCAATTTAAACCTAAAATTATTTAATGTTAGGTCGTCGTAGTCAAAAATGCTCTCAATTTCATGTTTTAATTGAAAAAATTGTACGTCGAGGAGAACACACGAAGTGTAGAAGAAGTTATCTGGCCCCAGAACAGTAAAAACCGCAACAATCGCTAATAAAATTCAGAGAAAATAGTAAGGTTAACTTATACGATAAAAGCTTATCATGACAGAAATTGTACATACCAGACCATATTTGATGAACATATGCGATCGGCCAGTAACGAATGTCAGAAGAGTCAAAGGGATACGCTAGGAAAAATGGTAAAAGAAGGTGCAGATTGCCAGTTGCGTAGTAATTCGAAAAGGATATTAAAATGGGACCAACGCCAAATGTAATTATACCAAGACCATCAAAAAAAGATAACGTATACAGACCTATACTAAGAAACTTAACACGGTATTGCATATAATCTTCAATTCTTTTATTCATATCTGTCATTTGGTTTCTTTCAACATAATATAAAACACTTAATGTTTTAATAAATTTATAAATGTGTGGCATATTTTTTATAAAATAATACGATTTGAAACATCCTAGAATGCAAATAGCAAGACACGGTCCCGAATACGTTAGTTCAACTAAAGAAATTCCTGTATAAAACTTTTGCACAAGCCATGTTATTTGACTTATTACATCATAGAATATACACAAAAAATTAAGACAAAAGAACCATCTTTGCTTAAAATAAATTTTTAAGTTAAGTTTTTCTTCATATTCATTCAGAAATAATCCCGTAATTTTAAGAATTGTATTGACTCTCTTTATATTCTTTTGAAATAATTGTTTTTGAATGTCTGTCATTTTACGAATGTTGTTTCTCACTGTAAAACCAGAATGTAAATGAAAAGAAAAACAAATTTGGTTTCAAATAAAACGTTTTCTCATTACATGAAGTAATTGTTCATTATTATCTAATTACTTCTCTACTGAAAATACGTAATTAAAGGGTAATAATAGTCTACTTTATAAAATAGCGATGGGGAGATAGCACTCTTACTCTATATGAAATCATATCTATGTATTGTATATGAATATCTGATATTGAATCTATATATTTCAATACTTATATATTGGGAAGTAAGTATTCAGAACTGCATGGTAATATGTAATTATTGATGGATTTGGTTTGCTTAAATTTAAAAATAAATCTAATTATATTAATATATATCTATTAATATCTATGATCCAAATTCCGATGAATTCAAAGCCTTACTCATAGTCCACAGACGCAATACAAAGTGCCACATGTTATGTGTGAAGCCAACTTATACGTGAGGCTTGAAGTCGACAAGCGATAATATTTAAAATTACTCTTGAAAACAGCACGTGGACGCACCTTAGAAAGGAAATCTGTTTGTTGTTCTTTTATGTTGTCGCTTTTCTTTTGGAGAACAAGAAGACTGCATTTTTGCTCTACGCCTCCACAGTAGTGTCATCATGAAGTTCGGAATCGAACAGTATCTGAAAAACTTGTCTGAAAGCCCTGTCGCGCCAGCAACGCAAAGGCAGGTATTTGTATTTAGAAAAATCCAAAATTAGGGATATTTTAGGTGCTAATTAGGTACCCTAAAATTTTCACAGCAACGAACTGTTAAAATTTGCGCTTCTCGTAAAACGCGTAAAACGTATCGCTAGCAACGCAATGACGATATTAGATATACGATAAACATTAATAGCAGTGGTAACTGGTAATGAAACCCTAGATGGTAAATTGCACTGTTTTAACGTAACAAAAGCTTATTCGAATATATTCTTATATTCGAATGGAAAGCAGAAGCCGGCAAATTATTCCATTCCTTTGCTACACACATTACAAAAGAAGAAGCAAGCCCTTTGGTTCAAATGCGTGGAATACCGACAACAAAGATGCGAAGACACGCCGACCGTTTGTTTGTCCGGTGGAAAAGAGAAGCAGGAATTAAAACGTGTAACTCTGCTCAAACTCTACGCCTGAGCTCGAGGCTGACAAGATTGGTTTCAACCAAATCAAGGTTGCCAATGTGCCTGTTAGAACGTCTCTCTACTGAGTCCAACGCTTAGGTGGCATTTTGCAGCACCAACCCACACGTGATAAAAGTACTTCATACATGACCGTACTTGCACTTTATATAAGGTAAGAAACTACGTCGGCGTGAAGTAGCGCCGCACCCTTGCAAGTTCACCTAGTTTCCTTGCGTATATTTTGCCCCGGATTCAATAAACCGCCCATATGCAGTAAGAAGAGATTTGTGGAAAGAACGGTTCCTTCAAGAACGGCGTTTGTCGCGATAGGATTGGTCGAGCAGCTACCAATGACGAATCGGTTAGATCGTTCACTCAGAAAGTCCTTCACCCAGTGAATCAGGCCAGAAGATAAGTCGTATGCTGGAAGCTTGGCATAAAGCTAGCGTGCCAAACCCTGTCAAGAGCCCTCGGGACATAAAAGAACACAGCAAGTGCTTCCCTTTTGTTCTCTAGTGCTTCGACCAATATGTGAGTGGCCTACACTAGATCCCAAGGTGATCGATTTCGGCGAAACCTAATCAACATACATATTTACGAATCAATCTACGCTCCATAATCTTGCAATGTGTTTTGCTGCGATGTGTTTTACAAACCTTAGCTTCAACCATATGAACAGTTTCCACAAACTTGTCGTTTAGATTGTTTATTTTATTAAAATCTTCTAGTCACTGAAAACAAATTTTGTATTTTGAGTTGAAAGTTATTCTTCTTCTGGAGGATAAAGATCATAACAAACTCCTTCTTGTTTTCTACGAAACGAGGCCGGTTTTGACCCCTTGGGTACCGTTTCAATATGCATACCTTCAGTACACCGTCCTTTTTTGTGCCTTGATTTGCTTTGAAATCCATTCGGTGATCACTATCAGTTTTCACGCTCGCGATCACAGAGAAATCACAAAACAGTTATCGCTTGGTTGGGGTTGGACCTAGTCCACTTTCTGTGGGGTCGTTTCTGAAGGATAGAGTTCATAATAAACTCCTCGTTTTCCATCAAGCAAGGCCAGTTTTGACCCCTTGGGTCCCGTTTCGATTGTCTACCTTCAGCGTACCGTCCTTTTTGTGCCTCGATTTGCGTTTAAGTTTTTTGAGCTTATCTTATCCGATGACTGCTACACTTAGTCCCTGTACGATATCAACACGACAAAATGTTTTTGAAGCCACCATATTAAAATAAACATTTTGTGAATAATATATGATATAAAATTAATTTCCATTATATATTTTTTTAGTTCTAAATCCATTATAAATTTATAATCTCCATGAGACTTCAAGTACAAGTGTTATTAGGCAACGGCCATAAATTTGTCTTTATCTTTAGTGATGGAACTTAAACGTCCTAATAAAATTATGTAAGAGCTTAGGAATTTGAGAAAGGGTAATCCAAAGCTTAGAAATTGTGGGTCAATGTATTTACGAGAGTAATAAGTATTTGTCTATCGTTATTATCTTGAAAAGTACTAAATGCTCTTAATTGTTGTAGTGAGGTCGCATTTTGCTGAATTTACTTCAAATTGACGACAAAATTGCACTTACTCTATAAATATACCGTTAAGCATGAATTAAGTCAATTATAATGACGGCTTCGTGGCGCAGTGGCTTAGCAATGAGTTGTTGCGCTGGGGACTGCGGGTTCGAATCCCGCAGAGAACAAGTATTTGTACTTATGGCCTACAAGTAATTGTTCCGGGTCTGGATGTTTGTCCTCGTGCAATCTATGATTGTAAACTGCCTCCACGATATAGGAGAAAATTCTAGTGTGGGGTTAACGTTTTTTTTAAAGAAAAAAAAAATAAACTCTATAAAATATCTAGAATTACCATAAATATCCAGATGTTCAAAAATAGAGATGAGAAGACTGGTGATGAACATAAATATCTAAAAGTTAATAATTGTAAAGTCAATAGCATATGATGAAGATTTCTTATTAAAGGTCCATAATAAATCCAGACTCTTCTTTATATTTATCTCTCTCATTTTTACTTTAATTTATAGCGTAATAGAGTGGAAAGATGTTTTTCATACAAGCATATGAGAAAAATATCATTTCACGGCGTATTTCTTATACCAATATAACCGTGTAAAATTAATACATTGATAAGTTACTTTAGCAGCATCTGTATTATTTATGTGTATAAAAGAGAAATTTTGCAAATACCATACGAATTGCAACCTTTCCGCTACTTTATGTTGTTTGTCTGTGTATTTTACGAGGTGATTAATATACTGCCATATCTGTCGCAGATTGCGGTCTGATATTCTGGTATTCTGTTAATTTCTCTAATAGTACGATATTTATGAGATGAGATGTGATGGTGGTGGAGTTTCCTTCACAGACGTTATATCATGTTGTGTCACACGTCAAATACGTAATATCTCCAACCAAGATGTCCAGTTTAGCGCATATACTGGTAGCACACAACACTGTAAAAAGAAATGTAAAAAGAAGAGATAACTGCCATTAAAATTTGCCCCGTTTCGTACATATATTTTTTACTATGGATGTTGCACCAGCCTGATTATGTTCTTTGTGACGTTCAATTGACACTGTTCTATTAACTTGTCAACCCGCAAATTTGTAAAGATTTCTTTTTGTAAAAATATTAAATTATGTGTACATATTAAAAACAAGAAAATTTATCATATATGCCTTAAAATGCCTTTATCAGGAAACTTTCGTCGTGGTGAGTTAATTCTTCTCCAAAACTTTGTCCCGGCCATTGTCAGTATATTTTTAGGGTTCTCATTCCTATAAGAACCTTTCTTATTTGCCAAGTACATAGTTATTACGTTTTTATTTTATTTATGTGTTTATGTTAAATAAATATATATGTATCTAAAATATGTATTTGTTTATTTATATGATGTTGTGTGTGTATGTGTGAGTACATTTTATAGTATTTATGTTTATTGTGTTTATAGTAATATATACTTATAATAATACCTTTTTGCACCGCAGTTTTATGCGTCCACGTTATAACGCTGTCATGACCCACACTTATTGTGAGATCGCATAATGTGGAGAGTTAAAGCTATCGCATGGAAACTTTCGCATATTTCGGTTGTTGGATGTTTTGAAAAAAATCGCTAAATTCGAATTAATTTAGACTTCCATAATATGCCTACAGAGTACTTTTAGTAAGTGTCGAGTCATTCGCCTCGTAAAGGAAAAGTGTAATACAAACTATAACACCCTATTTCGCCCACTTTAGGGCTTAAATATTCCAAAATCCTTTCATAGTAGATACCTACGTTGTAAAAGGCAGCTACTATCCGAATTTTAGATTTCTACGTCTAGCGGTTTAGTCTGTGCGTAGACAAAAAACCTTTCTCTCCGCGGTTTTACCCTCGTCCATTATCACAGATTAAGTTAGACTGAGGCCTTTTGAATAGTGAAAACCACTCTAACAATCTTTTGCTTCGTACATTCATCCTTTTTCTTCAATAAATAATTTTTGTTACAGCTGTACGCTTGTGAAAGTCCTTGCCTCAGCATATTCACCGTGTTTAATCGCTTTTTCCCTTCAAAATTTTTCTCAAAGCTTATTATTACTTGTAGTTTTAACAAGTCTCTTCATAATTCCTACCCTTTCTTGTGTTTAGTCTACTTTCCTCAAATGTTTTCATTTGAAATTTATTTTCATGATAAGTTAGTTTTAAATCTAAAGCATAAATAGACATTTTTACTTTTCAAAAATCTTCAAACATGAATTTCTTAGATTACATGAGTGTATGTGGAGAAGTGTGAAGTGAATGACTACGTCGGAAAAGGCAGCCACTGTCTAAATTTCAAATTTCTA